ATTCTGTACTGGGGCAGCAGGGGCTGCACCTGGCTGCTGGAATTGCCCCTGTCTGGGCTGATATGGTGGCCTCTGGAAGCCCGGTGGTCCCTGTGGAGCTGGTGGTCTGGGATTTGGCCCAGCCCAGGAGAAGTTAGGATGCTGGCGCCACCCCTCATTGTACGTGTTGCTGTAGGGGTCATTGCGCCTGACATTGTTGATGAAGTTCACCTGCTCCTGGGGTGTGGTCGATTCCTTCATCGCCTGGCAGTCTTTCACCATATGATGGGTGCTCTCGCACCACTGGCAGAGCATCGCCTGCTGCTGTCCGGTCCCTGGAATCATCCCGGAACGATCGATAGCTGAGACTAGCTTCGATACTACCTGCACCAAATCAGATGACTGGGTGCCCACAGCATGCACACCCCGGCCTGGTGCTCTCCTCGATCTCCTGGAAGTGCCCCAATCATAACCATTCTCCGCCATCTCTTCAAAGAGTTGATTCAGCTGTGGCGGGGTTTTGGTCAGCATGTTCCCGCCACAAACCGAATCGATCAGCTGCTTGTCCTCCGGGAAGAGGGCGTGATAGAAGGTGCCCACCTTGAACGCATCGTTGAAACCATGATTGGGACACCTGAGGAAAAGGCTGTTGTACCTCTCCCATGCATCCCTGATGGTCTCATCCTCATCCTGAGCAAAATGTGTAATTTGCTTCTGCAGGTCAGCTGTCTTGGATGGAGGATGGTAGCGGGTGAGGAACTTGTCCCGCCAGGTTGGCGAACGTGTGATGGAGCCCGGAGGTCGAGTGTCTAGCCACTCCTTGGCTTGCCCCTCCAGAGTGAATGGGAAGTACCTCAGCTGGATGGCATCTGCTGGTACCCCATTGATCTTGATTCCATCGATGAGCTCGTGGAATCGCCTGAGATGCGATCGAGGGCACTCTCCTTCCTTACCACGGAACACTACTGAACCGCGCAGCATGGTGATCACGGAGGTGCTCACCTCAAAGTTGTTGGCTGGGACCTGAGGGTGTTGAATGGGGGACCTCATGTCCGCAGCCCGAGCGGTCCAGTAGGATCCCATGGTCTGCTCCCCGGGGATCACATTGTTGTTCAGCGGATCACCCATCTCTCCTTCTTCTTCTTCTCCGATCTGTAGCTGTGACAGCGCCTTCTCCGCAGCCAGTCGCGCCTTTAGAACCCGCTTGGAGTTCCTGCAAGTTCGTTCAAGCTCCTGGTCTAATGGTAGTAGATCTCCCGACTGGCTACGGGTCATGCACTACCTGCACACAATCAGCAGAAGCAACCCGTGAAGGCACACAGGTGGAAGAAATAAAATGCAGTAAATAAAAGCTAGAGTAACAAATTCTCACGTTTCCCCAATAATCTAGAGGATCCCCGGCAACGGCGCCAAAAACTTGACACGCTAAAACACAACACCTAACAATGGCCAAGTGTAACCAATGAAAGGGACTGCAGTATAGGCAAGTTTAATTATCAACCCGGGGTCTAGATCTACTGCTTACTCCGTGATTCTCTATTATCTAGCAAACTAGTTCGAGTGATTGTTGTGAAAAGTAAAAGCAACAAGAAAGCAGTAAATTGTTCGGGTTTCTAAAGCAGGCAAAGAGTCACTCGGGATTGAGTCCCCCTAGCCCCTTAGTTAGGTTCAATTGCAATTCCCTGGGTTGATTTACTGAAGATTAGACTGCGGAAGATCCGACAGTAGCTTGGAATCTCTTAAGCTGACCAAGCCCTCTCAGTCTAACTACCCGGCAGACGACTAGTCTTCACCGGGATAGAAAGCTGAGGCTATGAACACAGAACTCCACTACTGCGCCAAGAACACCAGTACAAAGCAGTCAACTGGCTAACTCTCGTATAGCCAATCTCCTACTATCGAATGAAGAGGCTCTAACAACCTAATCAGATTCTATCTATCTCAGGTTGAAGCAGAAATCGAGAAAAGCTGATCAGACTCCAATCAATTCAATAAACATGCTCATTCGATTAAATCAAACAGTTAATATCATCCCAAGTTATTACAATCAAATCCCTAACACAAGGAACTAGGGTTCTTCATACCCAAGTGAGAGAAAGGTTCTACTCCATAGAGAGAGAAGAGAAAACAGTTAATCGGAGTAGTCATACTCTAATGATGAGGAAAATCTGCTTCCGGGATGATGATTTCCACTCCTATGACGATCTCCAAGCTCGATTCGATGAAACCAGCTCCAAGATAGCTTCTAGGATGTGTTCTTCGTACTTTCTCTCTCTAGGGCTCTGTTTTGCTCTCAAAATCCGATTCCCCACTTTTGGCTCGAAATTGGCTCAAAAACCAGAATTTCCCGACTCACACGGGCAGGCCACACGGCCGTGTGGCTCACCCAGTGGCCGTGCGAGTCAAAACGCAGCGTATGGATTAGTTCGATCTTCAGGCTTCTCACACGGCCAGGGTTGCACGGCCGTGTGGATTTCATGGGTTGCCCGTGTGTGGCCTCGGCAAAAATCACACGGCCACCTTGCTCACTTGCACGGCCGTGTGAAAGCTACTTGTGCCCGTGTTTGCTCTCGGTGGAAATCACACGGCCACCTTGCTCACTTGCACGGCCGTGTGATTCCCCGGTCTGCCCGTGCAGCTTCCTTGAAACCTCGCCATTCGTCCGATCTTCGTCCAATCAACCCCAGACTCGCTCCCAAGCCTCCATTCACGTACTAGGACCTGAAATATCACAAACAAGCACAACCTAGTGTGAAATCGGCCTAAAACACGAGAATCAACACCTCAAACGGTGTAAGAACGGGGGTAAAAACATGTGTAAATAACGCTCTATCATGAACTCAAGATTATCAAGCATAGAGAGAGACTGCAGTAAGAATCTTCAAATGATCAGTCTTCAAGTCCGGGCTTGTTCCTCGAGCTTCCAAGTCGAAGAAATCCTCCAATTCCACTCCAAGATTGCCCTCAAATCGCCCTCTCTCTCTCTTTGGTTCGTCCCTTGGGTGTCAGGGAACCAAAACCCAGCTCTACCCTCCAAAAACGCACAAAACATGCTTTTAACAGCCCGAGTTCGCGAAACCCGGTCCAAATACCCGGTCGGGTATTCAGGGAACCGGCCGTGTATCAACAAAATGCTATGTGTCACTTTTCTGCACAAAAGGGAAAGTACCTGGTCGGGTATTTGTTGGTACCCGGTCGAGTATTTTTGGTTCACTACCGGGGGCCTTCTGAGCTCTGATCAAAATACCCTATTATATGCTAAAAATATCCCCTATCTTTGATTGTTCGTTTCTCCCTCGTTCGGACTCCAAATCAGTTGTCGTTTGATCCCAGACGCTCGTAGTCTCATCCTCTTTCTTCTCATGACAAGCTTACATGATTATCTGGTCACAAAATGAGTTAGAAATCCATTCTTCTTCAAGTCAAGCCCGAGTTTCTTCCCCCGAGTCGCCAATTGATCTCCGATTGACTTGAAATTTGCGCCTATGCTTCACTTTATGTGCTTAGACCTGAAATATGAAAAAGGAACACAACCTAGCGTAAAATAGAGCAAAGTAACGATAATTTAAGGTTAAATGATCAAGAAACAAAGGGGAAAATATGTGTAGATATCGAGTCATCAGGCGTTATCATGGGAATTGACATTTACTATACGCACAACAGAGCATTAAATGCTCGTACCAACCACCATCGGCTATAAATACCACTCAACCACATCATTTAATAGTAACTAACCTACCCACATTCTCTCTACTTTATCTCTCGCTAACTTGATCATTGGAGAATGATCCGGGTCCCCACCTCCGAATCCCTTATGCAGGAGTTGAAGTCTATCCGTATTGTAGTGAACTCAACAAAGGCAACTTCGGGATCGTTTGGATGGATCAATATAGAAATGAGTCAATTTGATCAGTTGTCTCGTTTTATAAACGAGGCAATTAAAATGAGTCAATTCGAATTACCTGTCCCCACCCCAGTGAATTGAAATTGACTCAAAACGGATCAATTGAAAATACCTCAAGCAGATTGATCCATCCAAATTTTTTGCTGACAAACGAGGCAATTTGGTACAATTGTCTCAAAACGAGGCAATTGTGTCAAATTGATCTGTTACAATTCCTCATCCAAACGACCCTTCGTTTCCGCCTAGTACATTCTAGGCCTAAACAATAACATTAACATGGTCATGCTTACAACATGTTTAGCACAAAATCCTTTTCGTGGCTGATTTGCCTACCAATGCCACATCATATATATCTACTTCAGCCTTTTATATAATTGAGTCCTTCTCAGTAGTAAATATTATATATGTGCACAAAACCTCATCTCTACTTGGAAATTCCAATTCACTACCCCAACACCAAAGAAACCCCACTTCGTCCTATTCACCAGTCTCCGGTCTCCACCAAATATGGAAGCTTCAACCGGCGCCGGGGCAAAGAAACCCCACTTCCTCCTACTAACCAGCCCCGGCATCGGCCACCTGATCCCCGTCCTCGAGCTCGGAAAGCGACTCGTCACCCGCCACAACTCCGCCGTCACCGTCTTCATCGTCACCTCCCACTCCTCCCAGGCGGAGACCCAACTAACAACCGAAGCCGCCGCCGCCGTCGGAGCCCCGGCTGGCGGGAATTTCTTCAACGTAGTGAAATTACCGCCGCCGGACCTCTCCAACGTACTCGACCCAGCGGCGGCGGTCGTCACGCGCCTCTGCGTGCTCATGAGGGAGCTCATTCCTGTCAAGAACCAATTAGTCCCAATAACTCGAGTTGTTGGGAGAGATTCAATCGTGGATCATATACCACAACACTAACACGCCCCCCTCAAACGAAAGCCACTCACAAGGGCTTGAAGTTTGCACAGATCTGAAGACAAGAATACCATATGCTTAACAAATGGGGGTCACCGGGAATCGAACACAAGACCTCTCGGTCACAGAAGGCTCTGATACCATGTCAAGAACCAGTTGATCTCCAACAACTCGAGTTATTGGGATCAACTGGTTCATGACATGGTATCAGGGGATTCCTCCGGATCAGCAGCGGCTGATCTTCGCCGGGAAGCAGCTGGAAGACGGGAGGACCTTGGCGGATTACAACATCCAGAAGGAGTCGACCCTTCACCTGGTTCTCCGTCTGCGTGGAGGCATGCAGATCTTCGTCAAGACCTTGACAGGAAAGACGATTACTTTGGAGGTTGAGAGCTCCGACACCATTGATAACGTCAAGGCCAAGATCCAGGACAAGGAGGGGATTCCTCCGGATCAGCAGAGGCTGATCTTCGCTGGTAAGCAGCTGGAGGATGGAAGAACCCTCGCTGACTACAACATCCAGAAGGAGTCGACTCTTCATCTGGTTCTAAGGTTGAGGGGAGGTATGCAGATCTTTGTGAAGACCTTGACTGGGAAGACCATCACCCTGGAGGTTGAGAGCTCCGACACCATCGACAATGTCAAGGCGAAGATCCAGGATAAGGAGGGCATTCCTCCAGACCAGCAGAGGCTTATCTTCGCTGGCAAGCAGCTTGAGGATGGAAGGACCCTTGCTGACTACAATATTCAGAAGGAGTCTACCCTTCACCTTGTCTTGAGGCTCAGAGGTGGTATGCAGATCTTTGTGAAGACTCTGACTGGCAAGACCATTACATTGGAGGTGGAGAGCAGCGATACCATTGACAATGTCAAGGCTAAGATCCAGGACAAGGAGGGCATCCCACCAGACCAGCAGAGGCTCATCTTTGCAGGAAAGCAGCTCGAGGATGGCCGAACTCTGGCCGATTACAACATTCAGAAGGAGTCCACTCTCCATCTGGTGCTGAGGCTCAGGGGAGGAATGCAGATCTTTGTCAAGACCCTTACTGGAAAGACTATCACTTTGGAGGTCGAGAGCAGTGACACCATTGATAATGTCAAGAACCAATTAGTCCCAATAACTCGAGTTGTTGGGAGAGATTCAATCGTGGATCATATACCACAACACTAACAATTCCCGCCGTCCGGTCGGCGGTCAAGTCACTCGCGGTCCGACCGACGGCTCTGGTCGTGGATCTGTTCGGAACCGAGTGTTTTGTGGTGGCCGAGGAGTTGGGGATACGCAAATACTTGCTGGGAACTTCCAACGCGTGGTTTACCGCTCTGACGATCCAGTTGCCGGTTTTGGACGGAGAAGTGGAAGGAGAGTACGTTGATCAGAAGGAGCCGCTCGAGATCCCCGGGTGTCGTTCGGTTCGACCGGATGAGGTGGTCGACCCCATGTTGGACCGGAAGGATCAGGTTTACATCGAGTACAGGCGCATGGGGGTCGAGTTTCGGAAAGCCGACGGTATGATCACTTTTCTTTCATTCTAAGTCCATGATCAAATTTTCTTATAATAAATTATTTGGTTTTATTGTTTTTTTACTTTATGTAAACAATTGGGTAAAAAATTTCTCACTTTATTAATTAAATTGATCAGTCATATAATTTGGTCGACCATCTCTTCCTAAATGCCACACTAGTTTTACTATATACTCATTCTAACTTACAATTTAAATTACCTAATCATCTTTCAACAAACAAAACAATAAAAGTATAAAACAAACACCTCCTGACAAACCTCCTTCCACGTCAAATCGGATGTTAAGAGAGAGCTCTCTTTGCTGTGTTGTTACATTGTGTTTGCTATTTCTATATAAAAAAAAAAATTGTAGAAAAAATTTTAATTTGTAAATTAGGACGATTTAAAGAAAAGATAGGACACATTTAGCAATCATATAATGAGCATTGTTATAAGAAGCAAACCCAACTGTTAGGACAGTAGAACCATTAAACCAATTACAATAGCGGTTCAGTTCATTTGATTGGACGGTTAGAGTTGGACCGGATAATTTTAAGGTTTGACATGAAATCAGATGAACCACACAGGTTTAACCGGTCCACTATTTTCACCACAAAATTTTTAGAAAAATACATTAGCGTAAACGAAGACCATCCAACCTCAGTCACTATTTTATTTATGCTTCCTTTTTTTTTCTCATTTCATAACCTCCTTGTTGGAGTTATCTTGTTCACTATAGATTGTCACTCTTATGACTGAATCAAATTAATAAAAAGATGAAAATAAATTTTGAATCTTTATTAGAGCACTCCATATTTTTCCGAAATAGATAATTTTTTTTAATTAAACAAATGTTATGTCGGTAAATTTTGCTTTGAAGCGACTATTCCTTAGATACATACGTGATATTTTTTATTTTATTTTAAATGAAATCAATTTAAAAAAGACATAAAGTTAGCGATTTATAAATAGCAAATATTGCTCCAATACATAACAAAATAATAAAAAAATTATGATTTCTTCTGTTATAGATAATGCGTATTAGAATTTTTTTATAATTAGTGATAAATTCACTTCTAAGTTAGTGTATTATATATGTCATTATATTATAGCGCATGAATAATTTTATCAATAATTCTATAACAATTAATTGTTGAACCATCAATCACTAACTTTTTGATTCAACATTTGTTGCAATTATGAAAACGTTGATAATGGATAATGATGCTTTCTATTATTTTATTTTTATCAAACTAATGATCACTACCACTTTTCTTAACGTAATTGATTGTCTATTGTAATTAGGGCGGCCATTATAAGAATTAAAAATTAGAGCGGTCCAATCTAAAGTGATCTGGACAATTGGCACTTGGCAGGTCATTGTATTAGTCAAATTACGTAACTGGGTGCTATACAGTACAAAAATGTCAATAACTATCATTGATTCATTTTTTCCCCACAGATAGATCATTGATTCATTTAATCATTTCACAACACAATAATTGCAGTAAAATGTTTGATTCTTCGGCTTCTAACTGCTTTCTTTATTATTTTATTTTATATTATTCAAATCATAATAAGTTACACTTTTCTTTACCAATCTGTCTATAAGTTGGAGCGGTCCAAGCTAAGCTAAAGTGATGCCAAAGTGATCTGTATGGCTATACGATTGGCAAAGTCATTGTATAAATGAAGTCAATAGGTAACTGGCCATTATCAGGAAGTCAATCACTATCAATCTATAATTCCTGTTTAGTACTATTTTCAGTTACGGTTTTTACAAGTGAAAACAGATACTAAAAACATATGTTTAGTTATGTTTTCACATGTTGTGGCAACATGAGTTGACAACACAACATAAATTAGTTGAAATTACAATAAGTAGCTTCTTTATTGTTTTCGAAAAAATTTCTCGTGGAATCCAATTAGCCGTTGTAATAATTTCATTCAAATGAGTATATGACTTGGTCTCACTAAATTTACTTTCTACACATGATTTCCCTTTCCATTTTCGCATAACTTGTCACGACTGTTTCTAAGAATTGGAAAATTGGGGATCGATAAAGTAAGGAAAAACGAAAGCAATAATGAACACGATGCACGAATTTACGTGGTTCACTAACACGATGTGTGTTAGCTAGTCCACGAGCAGGAGAGAGCAAGTTTGACTATACTTCGAGAAGATACAGATTACAAAGGAGTATAAGAAATATTTATAGTATTTCTCCATATGGTCTAACCCTAATCCAATATGGTAAAGGAAAATGCTTACAAATCAGGACCGAAGTAGAAACCCAAATAACAGCGAGACCCCCGTGACTTCCCGTCATAGCCAGATAGTCCGATTCAAGTCATATCAACAAATTTCCACCTTGACTTGAATTATCTTCCTCTGAAATCTCCTATGTACTCTCATCCTTCTCTCTCTTCCGACACCAATGCCCCTCAGGGCGGATTCAACCACTCAGAACATTCAGCAAATCCAAGTAGTGTTTGAACTTTTCATGTGGAACCGATTTCGTTGACATGTCAGCCGGACTGTCCACAGTGTCAATATTTTTCACCTTAATCCTCTTCCTTATCCTCAAGAAATGATATCTCACGTCAATGTACTTGATTCTCTCATGGTGGACTTGATCCTTGGCCAAACATATTGCACTCAAACTGTCACAATACACCAACCAACCCCTTCAATCATATTTCCTCCTTAGCAGTTTCTGTCAACGCCATGTACTCTCGGTTTAGTAGTAGATAATTTCATTATCGACTGTAGAGTTTTCTTTCAACTTACCACAGAACTCGAATACATAACCGGTCATTGATCTCCTCGTGTTGACATCTCCATCACAATAAGAATTTGAATAACCAGACACTAAGAACTATGTATCACTTCCTAAGCTAATCCCCACATTAGACGTACCCTTCAGGTACCGAAAGATCCTCTTCACAGCCTGTCAATGTTCATTTCCAAGTTGTATCATGAACCCGTTGACAACACTAACAGCAGGTGCAAGATCATGTCTAGTGCATATAATAACATACATCAAACCACCTATTACACTAGCATATGAGACTCCCGACATGTACTCCTTCTCATCCTCTGACTGTGGTGCATGAACTGAGATAGATTAACATTTAAAGCACTAGGAGTATTCAAGGGCTTTGCTGAAGACATGCCCAAACCTGGACAATATCTTCTGGATGTAGCTCTTCTGTGACAAGAAAACAAAATCTTTTGAGAAGCTCCTAAATCTTTCATCTCAAATTCAGCACTGAGAAGTCCCTTTAACTTTTGGATATTAGACTTCGACTTTGCAGCTATGAGCATATCATACACATACAGAACTAGATATATCATCGAACCATCCTTAGCCTTGCTGTGATACACACAACGATCATAAGGACTTCTATTGTAGCCCAACTCTAGCATATAACTGTCAAACTTCTTGTACCACTGTTTCGGAGATTGCTTAAGTCCATAAAAGCAATGCAGTCAAAATCGATATTTTGATCGTAAAATCGTAGGATTTTACTTAGGGATTCCGATCCTGATTTTAATATAAAATCGATGAACCTTAAAATCGTTTAAAATCGGGATTAAAATCGTACAAAAATCGGGATTTTGATCGCATGAGAAAAAATCGGTGGTTTGAGCCAATTAAAAGAAGCATAACAATTTCGGGGGAAAGGGGAATGACGAGAATCTTCTCATATATTTTTTTAAAACATTTAAAAAAAAATAATAATAACCAAATTAGGGCTCGATCAATCCATTTCCCTTCGCCCCATTTAACTTATTGGTAAAAAAATTATCCTAATATTGGAAGTACGTAAGAATTAACATCATTATTAACTAATTAATTTATTAATAAATATATTTGTACCAAGCCATTAGCATTACTTATTTTATTGAAGTTCAAATATTTTTAGTTTTAAATCATACTTAGACGATGCCGGAATATTACTTTGAGTTAAACTACCTAGACAACATGAAAACAAGAGCCAAACCCATGGAGCTTTATCCCTTCCTCATAAATTATTTTGAGTTGCGCATTAAATAACAATTAAAATAGTATTTTTGGAACATTAATCTTTAGAATTATCTTTTGTAAAAAAACATCTTCAGAATTATCATTTTAAAGGTTATGTGTCTTTGTGTTATTAATGATTTACCTTATTAATATTATTATAGGTTATGTTTTATATGGTACTTAAAATTCTACGATATTACGATTATGGTTTTATCCCGGTTTTCGATTTTAGGTAAAATTCCAATTTGACTGCTTTGCATACAAGGACTTCTTCAACTTACAAACATAATCTTCTTTCCTGGAACCTGGAATCCCTCAAGTTGAGTCATGTAAATTTCTTCTTCCAATCCATGTAGAAAAGTTGTCTTAATGTCTAGTTGCTCGAGCACCAATCATAATATGTCACTATTGCTAGTAAAACTTTGATCGAAGTATGTTTGACAACTGGTGACAAAATCTCCTAGTAATCAACTTATTCACTCTGCATGAAGCCTCTTGCAACTATATGAGCTTTAAATTTAATGCCCTCTTATGAAATCATTCCTTCCTTCTTCTTGTAGATTCAGTTTTTTGTAACAACCTTCCTTCCCCGTGGTCGTTTAACCAAGTCCCAAGTCTGATTCCTGTCATGAGATTCCATCTCATTTCCCATTGTGGCAAACCATTGAGTAGCTTCGCCACATGAAACGGCTTCTCTGTAGGACTGTGGTTCACCCACATCCACTTCTTCAGCCACCTGAAAAGCATATGTCATAACATCCTCAAACTCACTCTCTTTGAGAGTTTGCAACTCCGCCTGTTTATCAACATTCCTACAATCTCCAATAGCAGTAACCTTCAACATGGGGTCAAACATATATTTCTCATCAAATATCACATTCCTACTGAGTATTACTCTGCGCTCAGAAGGTGACTAGCCTTGATAACCCTTACCTCCATCTCCAAAATCCACATATACACTCTTCTTTGCTTAGAAGGTTTACTAGATCACACCTCAAAAGGAGTTTTACACTAGAATCCAGCATTAGAGAGCATGCACATTGCTTTCTCCAACAAAGTTTGATTCATCCTTTATGCAAAGCCATTCTGTTGTAGGGTGTCTCTAACATCCCAATAACGGACAATCCCTTCATCCTAGCAGAATTCGTCGAACTCATAACTACAGAACTCTAGACCATTGTCCATTCGAAGTCTCCTTATCTTCTTTCCGGTCCGATTCTCCACCAAGGCCTTTCACTGCTTGAACTTCTTGAAGACTTCACTTTTGTGCTTCATCATGAAAATCCAAGTAAACCTTGAGTAATCATCAATAATAGACAGAAAATACATGCTTTCTATAATAGATTCAACTCTTGAAGGACCCCGACAATCAGAGTGGAGGTAATCTAGTATCCCCGTCGTCCGGTGGACACCGTTCTTAGAAAATTTATTAAGATGTAATTTCCTAAGCACACAATGCTCACATAATTCCAAACTCTGCACCTTGTGCCTGCAAAGAAGATCTCTCTTTGAAAAAATTTGCATCCTCCATTCTCTCATATGACCCAGTCTCATATGCCAGAGAGTGGTTATATCTTCCCGATGAACCTGATATGGTGCAACAGCAGCAAAACCGGACAACACAGTCCCTTATAATGCATACAAGGTACCATGCTTAACATCTTTTAGTACCTTCATCGAACCTTTGCTGACATATACAACTCCACCTTTTCCCTTGAAACTGAGACCCTTGTTGCCGAGAAGACTTAAAGAGATCATATTCTTTGTCATTTGTGGAACATTCTTGACATCATTCACAGTATAAAACAAACCATAATGTGTTTGAATCTTGATAGACCCGATTCCAACCAATCTGCAAACATCTCCATTGGCTATAACCACGTTACCACCATCTATCTGCTTATAGGTTGAAAAGAAATCCTTATCCGGAGACATATGATATGAGGTTGCAGTATCCAAGAACCCCTACTGTCATGACTGTTTCTATGGATCGGGAAATTGGAGGAATAACAAAGCAAGAAAAACAAAAGTAAGAATCAAACACGACATACGTATTTATGTGGTTCACTAATACGTTGTGTGTTAGCTAGTCCACGGATAGCAAGATCCCTGTAACTTCAAGTCGTAGCCAGATAGTCCGATTCAAGTCATATCAACACATACATCGTCATGATGTGCTTACTCATCTACAGCCAACGAGATCATCTTCAGAACTGTTGTCCACTTCTGCTACGGCAACCAATCCTTGATTCTTTTATTGCCCTTTTCTTCTTGGACAACTGTACTTACTACTTCCAATGTCCCACTTCTTTATAGATGTGATTGACATCGATTGACTGAGGACCGGGACCCTTAGAATTCAAATTTCGGTCGAATTCCCTTCACCGTATTTCTTCTTTCCCTTTCACCTGTAATAGCCAACCCCGATGCTTCTCCACCTGTACCAGATCCGGCCGCCTTATGTCTGATCTCTATCGTATGAAGAGCATATCTGACATCTTCCAACGACAAGCTATATTTACCAACAATAAAAGAATCCACAAAATTATAAGGGTAAATACAATTTAATATCCAAACCTTTTATTTTAAACAATATAATAGTCAAACTTTTTCGAAAACAATCTAATATCCAAATCGTCAACTTTTTGTCTGTTTGACCGTTAGTTGACACTTCAAAAAAGTTTGAAGTACGACACTTCATCAATATCCATCGATTTCTTCTCTGAAAAACACCAACATATCGTAGTTCCAAACCCGAGAAGTCCATGACTCCACCATGATGATATAGAATATCTAAATATTCAGTCATCTGCAATGCCAAAACTAGAAACAAAGTTGTATTGTGACAATTTCCCCTAAACAAAGCTTTTTTGAAGTGTTAACTAATGGTCAAACGAACGGAAAGTTGACGATTTGGATATTAGATTGTTTTCGAAAAGGTTTGGCTATTATATTGTTTAAAATAAAAGGTTTGGATATTAAATTGTATTTACCCAAATTATAATATGAGCTCGATAAAGAAACAAGCAGGATTAGGGAAACATCTTCTCATCAACTTTAACATGTATATTGCGCAAATCTAACAAGATAGAATTAAAATTTTCCACATGTTCCGTCAAAGGTGTAACTTCTTGCATCCTCAAGATGGCCAACCGTTGTCTGAGATGCAGCTTGTTGGTTGAGAACTTCATCATATACAGGCTTTCCAGCTTCAACCACAAGCCTGGGACAGTCTTTTCCGTAGCGTCTTCAATGATGACACCATCAGACAACGATATCATGATGGTCGAGTAGGACTTCTCCTCCATGGTATTTCACTCATCGTTATCGACCTCTATCTTCTTTTGTTTACCAATCAGCGGCCCCCACAGTCTTTGTTGTTCAATAGCGCCTGCATCTTGATCTGCCATATACCGAAATTATTATTTATCGTGAACTTTTTTATCTTCATGTTCACCAATGTCATTCTTCAATCTCGAAACCCTAGCATGATTTCCAACTGGAGCGCTGATACAACGTGTCACGCCTACTTTACGGATCAAGAAATTGGAGGATTGACAAAGCAAGAAAAACGAAAGCAGCAACGAACATGACACACAGATTTACGTGGTTCACTAACACGATGTGTGTTAGCTAGTTCACGGGTCAGAGAGAGCTATTTATTGTACTTCTCCATGTGGTTCAACCCTAATCCAATATGGTAAAGAAAAACGGTTACAAACCAGGCCCATAATAGAAACCCAAATAACAGCGAGACACCATGACTTCCAGTTGTAGTAAGATAGTTCGATTCAAGTCATATCAACATAACTCATCACCGAAACCTTACTGCAAATATTGTTTCATATATGTTTATTCCTCAATTTTATCATAATTTGTTAGGTCATATTACTCCTCTATTATTTTCCTACTTTTGTTTCAGTCTAAACGTTGTTACAATACAAGGCCTCATGAAGTAACTAAACATATAAAATTGCCAACTTCCATGATTTCTCGGAATTATCAACCAAACATGTTTATGTTTTTTATTTTCCTAATGTTATAGTTGTACCTCTGTTATCACAATCGTACTGCAGCCACAATTGCAACAAAACCTTATTAAACACATCGAAATTCATTCCTTGGTTTCTATGTGGTTTGGCTTGATTTTGGGCAGGTATTTTGATAAACACTTGGGAGGATCTAGAGCCCACTACCCTTGCCTCACTGCGAAACGACGACTTCTTCGGTCGCAGGGTCATTCAGGGAGACATTCTAGCAATTGGTCCGTTGGTTCGACGTCCAACCAAACCATCGGACGCAACAAGCCGGGAGTTGTTCTCCTGGCTAGATAAGCAACCCAATGAGTCGGTGGTTTACGTTTGTTTCGGCAGTGGTGGGAACCTCTCAACCTTTCAACAAATCGAGCTAGCTCATGGGCTGGAACATAGCCAGCAACGGTTCGTTTGGGTGGTCCGCCAGCCCACTGGTGTAAAGGACTCGGCCTTCTTCAGTTCTGGAAAGTCTGAGGATGATATCGATGGGATTCATCATGACCTAGCTAGCTACTATGGCCTCCCTGAGGGTTTCCTAGAGAGAACGCGACACGTGGGGTTGGTGGTCCCAGAATGGGCGCCACAGTCGGAGGTTTTGAACCATGCGGCAGTGGGAGGGTTTGTGTGCCACGGTGGATGGAACTCAACGTTGGAGAGCATTCGGAGCGGGGTGGCGATGATGATGTGGCCGCTATACGCAGAGCAGAGGATGAATGCGACGATGGTGGCGGAGGAGCTCCAGCTAGCGTCGAGGACCGAAACGATGCCTTGGAGGGTAGTAGTCGGGAGGGACGAGGTGAAAGGGATGATCAGGGAAGTTATGGTGGGTGAAAAAGGGGAAGGGATAAGGGAGAGGGTGAAAGCAGCTCAACGCAGTGGGGAGAAGGCATTAGAAGAAGGTGTTGGGTCATCTTATAAAGCTTTGGAAATGGTGGTTAAGAAGTCCTGTTAAGAGGTCTAGATGCACTCGGTCGCTAATGAAAGTCACGCTCATGAGGAGGGAGGTGAGAAGGAATGAGTTAGAATTATGTTTTTTTTTTTTGCCATAATAGAATATCGTTGTTAGAGAATCATAATATTCAAGCATATGATATGTACGTGCGTAATATTTCATAAATGTACGCGAACTCCTTAATGTACTTTGGTGGTCATATGCGATCATATGGATTCCTATCCGAATATTGTAAAATTGTATCGAAGATAAAGTATTTTATACTGGAATTTTAGTTTAATTGTGATTCAACCAATTCATACAGCCAAATATAGCCCATTAGTAGGAAATTTTTCTGGTTAAATCGTTGGACGAGTAAGATTTTTCAATCCTGGTTCCTATGACCTTTCTTTGGGAGGATTCGAATGCGGGGCCGGCCCAAAGTAGCGCTCTTGATGTCATTTCAAACAAGATAAATATCCAGCCGCTAAATCCATGGGAAGTAAAATGGAGCATTTTCCTGTTAATTTTTAGCCCACTCCTTACTCCATATCAAGCCTTCATCTTGAGATCCCCAATATATAATATTTGGAGGTCCATAGCCCATGAATTTAGACTCTTACAGTGTGTGCTAGGAAAGGGAGAAAAGGAGGGAGATGGGAAAAGGCATGGGAAAAGATTTCTATAGGAAGAAATTAGAGGAGAAATTTACTATTCTAGCATGTCTCTCAATTTGGGGAATAACATATGGTAAAAATAGTCATATTGTGTATTCGACCTGTTTGATTAGGGTAAAAATGTATTTCAAATAATTTTTAATGGGCAAGGTTAAAATCCAAACCAGTATATTGCGGGTGATAATTGGAAATGGTTTTTTCACTATACAACATTGAATCCGTCCGATTATTAACATAATTTATATTTATGATACATATATATAATATTTTCATGAAATTGTATTGTTTTCAACTAATTTTTTTCGTTCTAATAATTTATTGTTGTAATTTTTCACTTATGTGATGTCAGTATACAAATAAGTGTTAACATGTTTGTTGAAAGGGTATGGATATGATTTTGTTATTTTACCTGATTATTATATGAATACGAGTAGTGCATAAATTTAACTTATTTATCACACATTTACATATATGTATTTTCCCTCTAACTTTTTCCCTCATTTTACCCCGTAAAAGATCATGTTCTCTTGCCATATTCCCCTACAATTTTCCTCCCTCCCAAATTTTATCTCCCCTTCTCATTTTTCTTCAGCTCTTCGGAAACAGAGGGTTAAATTTCATGGACCCCATAGTTTTCACCTCCTAATCCTATGCGTATTAGGGATTGGATGTGAAACCTAAATATGCAAAGCAAACAACCTCTATAGCACTAATATTATGTCACAATGATTACTCCAGCCTCCAAATTGTTCTAGAACACAATAATTACTCAATCCCATAAACTCCATCTTGAGTTAGTATTGTGCTAAAATGATATTATGAGAGATTTTGGTTTGAATTATCCGAGTATTAATTTATGGTTTATTTGTAAAATATGTATTGAAATTTTTAAAATATTAATTAAATAGTTCTAGTTCAAATTCTGATATGTAGCTAGTAAAAATACAAAATTGGGAGAAGATCGTACCAACTCTATCCCTCATATGTCTTCCAACCTCCATATCCTTCTAGAACAATATAATTGGTAACTTCATAATAAGAATTAGAGGAAAATCACATATCCCGCGAGTGAGTCTCAATCATGGGCGGCATAACATATAATATATATATGTATAGTCTCATATATAGATATTTATTGTTTTGTTCGCCTTGTAATCTCCAGAAAATGATCTGTCTGGATGCAAGTGATCTCCTACACCTGTTTTCCGGCGAGAAAACTTGCGTTGAAATGAGATTAATGCACTTTTAACTTCTTTGGACAACGATTACTAAGACACGGCTCACACCTCTTCAAACAAAGTTCGAACGAGGGTGTTTGATTGATGGTTTCTGGGAACGAGATCTAAATTAAATTACTTCTACTCCTATGGAGGTTCGACGAGAGCTCCAAACTACGAACTACATCTATGGCTACATGATAGAGAAAAGGTAAAGGATAAACTTGACATGTGTTTCAGTTGTGTAGTTTTTGGGAACCCCTTGTCTCTGTCGACCCCTCCTCTTATTTATAGCCCCAAGGAGGTAACCGCCATAGAAAACCGCTTGTTGGATAACTGCTACAAAGAACCGCTCCTCCTTCTTCGGTAGAAAACCGCCTCTTGGATAACTCCCAAAAAGAACCGCTCCCTGCTTCCTCGGAGTGGTGGTTACTCCTTCAACCGCCAAGGTGCCTCTCTTGGAACCGTCGTGGGTTTTGGAGTGTAGCTTGCCTCGCCTGGTCTTGTTCTGAATTTCGTGTCATGCTAGTCTTTTGACTAGAAGTATTGTCTCGTAAAGGGGGTCATGGTTCTCTTGTCTCATGGCCATGGACTTCTTACCCATGTCAATGATCCACTTGGGACTTAGTCATTACTGATATAGTGCTCCACCACCACACCCTTCTCATTCGTGTCCATGGCCACTCTTGTGAAGTGGCATGGACTTCTCAATCATGCACAAGGCCCCTCTCATGAGGCGGCATGACTTTTCCATACTTACTATTTTCAATCATTTCAAATGCTTCTTGCTTCGCGTCCATGGCCATCACATGACACGGCCATGTACCTCTTAATCATGCACATAACCCTTCTCGTGAGGCGGCATGGCCTTCTCAGACTTAGTATATTTTGGATCATGAGGCGACATGGCCTCCTCATTCGCGGCCATGTACTTCTCAGTCATGTCTGTGACCCTTCTCGTGACACAACATGGCCATCTCATACTTAGTATCTTGTCTCGCGTCCATGCCCCTTCTCGTGAAGCGGCATGGACCTCTCGTTGAAGTGGCACATGCTTCTCCTTGAAGCGGCATGTACCTCTTCCAGACTTAGTTTATTTTTCAGTCATTCGGTACTGGTCGCGGGGCGACATGTGCTCCTCAATCTCTAGATGGACATGACCCTCTTCGTTGAGGCGGCATATGCCTCTAGATTTTAGAGGGACATGTCCCTTTCCAGACTGAGTGGTTTGGGCTTAAAATCAATATCGAAAAGGCCCAACATAAACATTATTAATTGTTATAATGGGTGTGGACTTATAAACTGATTGATTATCTTGTAACTCACCAATGTGGTACAAGACAAATTTTATGGTGTAAACAACACCATACATAAAAATATAAACTCACTCTTAGACACAATATAAGAAACTGTTACGCATATATGTATATATAGATAATACCTTATTTGGAGTCACAAATTTTGAAAGCAGACAGTTAATTGTCAGAATTTTGAAAGAAATGAACTAATTTGGCCCGAAAGTTAGCCTGACCGTTAATATTGACGGTCAACCATTTTTTTCGTCTATAACTCAGCATAAAATAATGAGGTGGCTATGACATGACTTCCACGTAGTAGAAATAATACCCCATTTTGGCATGAAATTTGGAATATAAGACGATTTTTGCATGAACTTTCAAATAAACAGTTTTGTCCGAATTTTGAAGAATTTGACAAATTTTACCCGGAATTTACGTTGACCGTCGATATGGACAGAGATGGGTACAAAGAGAGATTTGAGTGAAATTCCTCATAAAATACCCTCATCCAAATAACCTGTAGATAATTTCTAGTTTTCAAAGAAATTGAAATATTTTTAGAAAAATTAGTTATTATAAGAAAAAAAATTTCACATTAGATTCATTAAAAATCAGAAGAATATAAAAATTAATAATACATTTAATATTGTCCGAACCATTCTCCTTTCGTAACTACAAAATGAATATCTACCAATATTATTACTTAGAAAAAATTATTCATTATGTATAAGAAATTATCCTTAAAATGGAAGAACTCAATTGATCAAATTTTAAATTAAATAATTAACAAACCAAAACTAGAAAATGCTTGATTTAAAAGGAAATTGATTTGTTAAGTCAAATTATACTTAAAATTGAAGAAATAATGATCTAATTTGAAATAAAATGTTTGATTTATACTGAAACTAATCACTTAAATGATTAAATTGATTTGTTTAGTCAAAATATCTTTAAAATTGAAGAACTTAAATTATTTAATTTGAAATAAATTGTTTGATTTGAAATGAAACTACTGGCTAAACTAATGACTTAATCATCTGGGCAATCAACACAAAGACCTACCGGTGTAATTACATGAACTTTCCGCGCGCGGGACATTTTGTGTCATTAATTTACAACTTACAAGCCTCTATTTTTCATGTAAATTTTTTAATTTATACATATTAACCCGAACCATTTATACGCGACTTCGAGATTCTCCGGTGCTTGTAGCTAGCTCCACCGCCCTTGGATGCTAATACCCTATATTTGGTTTTTTTAATTAGGGCAGTCGTATAACACTCACGATTCGGCTATATTTGGAAAAATACAAATAGGTAAACCAAACTCTGGTCATAGCTACTTCAGTTGCCCCAATGAAATGAGATTGTACGTTCATCATCGAACTCATCAACTCGGTTATGGCTAGCTAGCGTCTCCATTAAAAAAATAATGGAGGTTTCTACCCAGAATAACAATGGAAGGGATGATGAAATTGACCACTTTTTTGTTTGGCTCATTTGGCGATGCGGCTGCCTGCCACGATATGCTCTTCTTCATAACCCCAATCAATTCCAAGCTTACAAAATGAAACTTGCTTGTCACTGCAGTCTAGCTCCAAACCTTAGTATCATCGCTGGATGGAGTAGCTAGCTAGCCGGTTTCTTCCATGCAATAACAAGCATACATGTAATATATTATATTAATCGTAAGAAAATTATATTATGATATATTCTTTATCCAACTTGTTTAGCAAAAAATTGTCTTTGAGAGACGGCATGATCATTCTTGCATATTTGTTGGGGTCTTTAGTCAAGAGTTCTCGTATTCGCGGCACTGCCTTCGATGCG